GGAATCATCCCAGGGAATCATTCCCAGCACCAAACGTCTCCTCACCAAACCCTGGGAATGTTCTGGACGTTCCCGCCCCAGGGCTGCTCTCACCACAAACCCTCCTGGAATGGCAGAAAGGGGGATGAAGGGCCACGGCCCAGCCTTTTCCCAGGAACATTTTGGAATGTTTTCCCCCAGCTCAGCCCGAGCCCGGATCCAGTGGGAGCCTTGGACAGCGAGGCTGGAATTGGGGATTACGACTACAACAACCCCAACGACACCTCCAACTTCTGCCCTGCCCTGCAGGTACAGCAGGGACTGGGGAGCTCCTGCTGGGACCAAACCCACGGCCAGGGAATTCCTGAGGGGAGCAGTCGGAGCTGCAGGGCTCTGCTGGCATCCAGGCCTGGATATTCCCAGGGGTGGGAAAACTTTGGGAATTCTGCTCCCTGCAGCTGCCTTGGCTTAACCTTGCCTCAGTCCCATGGGATAAACCCCAATCCCAGGGGGATAAACCCCAATCCCATGGATAAACCAATCCAGGGGGAAGCCAGGCAGGAATTCCCAGCCTCCTGCTGCCTCTGGCTCCTCCCAGGTGACTCTGGTGTCCCCCCGTGTCCCCTGGCAGGTCCCTGACAGCGATGACGATCCCGATCCCGCAGAATTCCCAGGCCAGGAGGGGCCGTTCCCGCTCCCGGCTCATCCCGAGGCTCCGGAGGTCCCCGGGATCAACGGGAACGGCCCGGGCTGTGGGGAGCTGGAGCTGATCGCCGAGCCCCACAAGGTCACTGGGAGCACTGGGAGGGACTGGGAGCACTGGGAATTCCTCGTTAGAACTGGGAATTCTTCCCTGGGCTGGGCTGGAGCAAAAACTTCTCAGCACCTCCGGGGTTAAAAATTCCAGGACACCGCTGTGATTCCAGGGATTGCCAGGATTGGCATTCCCAGACTGAACACTGGGATTGGCATTCCCAGAGGAACAGTTCCCAGACTGAACACTGGGATTGGCAGTGAGGCTGCACTCGCTGTTATTCCCACGGAAAATCGGGAATGCCAGTGGCTGTGATCCCAGTGATGATCCAGACGATGATCCCGGACAATCCTGGATTCCTCCCTCAGATCCACAAGATCCCCATCCAGTACGCCAGGACGGCCAAGAGGATGGACATGAGGAGGCTGAAGAGGAACATGTGGGAGCTGCTGACGGAGCAAGGAGAGGTCTGGAAGGGAAATTCCTGCTGGGAATTCTGCAGGGGGTCCTTCCCAGCCCCAGGGATCAGCCCCCAATCCCACGGGATAAACCCCAATCCTGTGGGATAAACCCCAATCCCATGGGATCAGCCCCAAGCTTCCCATCGGCCAGGACGGGCTGAGGTTCCCAGGGGTTTTCCTTGGAATTTCGGGGCTCTGCATTCCTGGATTTTCCCAAGCAGGGGGAGGAGGCCGAGGAAGGGACGGATGCGAAGGTGGCCGGAGAGAAAATGCTGAGTGACCTCATCAAGGATCTGCAGCCCAGGTCGGGAATGGGAACAATGGGAATGAGAAAATCCTGAATGGGAATGGGAAAATCCCAATGGGAATGAGAAAATCCTGAATGGGAATGGGAAAATCCCAAATGGGAATGGGAAAATCCCTCTGGCTGTTGGGATGGCACTGGGACTGACCCCTGTGGGTGTTCCCGGGAAGGGCAGAGCTGTGAATCCCTCTGGCTGTTGGGATGGGACAGGGCAAACCCCTGTGGGTGTTCCCGGGAAGGGCAGAGCTGTGCCCACTCCCTGCTCCTGGGCATTCCTGGGCATTCCTGGCTGCTCTGGCATTCCCGGGCTCTGATCCCGCTCCCGCTTTTCCGCAGGCTCCCTCCTACCATGGCCACCAACCTGTCGGTGCCCTTGGCCTTCCTGTGCCTCCTGCACCTGGCCAACGAGAAGGTGAGAGCAGGAGCCATTCCCACCAATCCTGGAATTCCAGGGAATGCAGCTCATCCCACCAATCCTGGGGATCCCATGGAATCTCATTCCCAGTTTTTCCAGGGAATGGGAACCATTCCCAGCAATTCTGGGGATCCCATGGAATCTCAGTCCTCGCTATTCCATGGAATGCAGCTTGTCCCATCCATCCCAGTTTTTCCATGGAATGCAGCTCATTCCCAGTTTTTCCAGGGAATGGGAACATTCCCAGCTCCCAGTGCAGGGTTTGTCCCTCAGAGCCATCCTGAGCATTCCAGACTCTGGGTAAGGGAACAGAATTCCAAAATCCCAGAATTCCTGAGGCTGGAAGAGCTCTCCGAAGTCACAATGTGCCCAATCCCCACCTGGATTCCTTCCACATCCAGGAATTCCTTGGAATTCCTGCAGGGATGGAGACTCCAAACCCCCCCTGGGGGCCCCTTCCCGTGAGGAAATTCCTGCTCTCCCAATTCCCTGGAAAAGCCCCAGGCGGGGCAGGAGGGGCTGGGATTGTTCCTGAGCCTCATCCCAGGGATTTCATTCCACAGCTTTTCCTTCTCATTCCCAGAACCTGAAGCTGGAGAGCACCGAGGACCTGTCAGATGTCTGGGTGAGAGCAGGGGACTGACCCTGGAGCCACTCCAGATCCAGCAGGGAATGCTGAGAATTCCCAAAATCCCAAATCCCTGGGAAGGTTGGGATTTGGGGATGTCCTGGCTGGACACATCCAGCAGCTTTTCCCTGGGATTGGGAATTCTGCACTTCACTGTGAACCCAGGCTGCTCTGTGTCCCAAAATTTCCTCTGTATCCCGAAATTTCCTCTGTGTCCCAAAGTTCTGTCTGTCCCAAAATTCCTTCTGTCTGTCCCAGAATTCCCTCCCTGTGTCCTTCCCAGTCTGTAATTCCCAGTTTGGACTGTTACTCCTGCCCCCCATTCCCTTTTTTTACTGTTTCTAAGGATAATAAATTTTGCACACTTTGGAGAGGGGCCTGGAAGGAATAACCCTGGGAATAACGCGGGGTGGGGCAGCAAATGAGGACAAATCCCTAAAAAATGGGAATGAGGGATCAGAGCCTGGAGCAGCAGCTGGGAACGGGATCCAGGAGCCAAAGTGTGGGGTGAGATCAGTTCTGGGATGGGATCAGTTCTGGGGTGGGATCAGCTCTGGGATGGGGATCCCGGGTCCTTCCCGGTGCTTTTGGGGCCAGTGGCTGCTCAGTGGGGTTTGGGGCCGTGTCAGGACCTGGATTTTCCTCCTGGATTTTCCTCTTTGGGCTATTCCTGCAGCTCCAGGATGAGCATGGGGTGGGGCAGCAAATGAGGACAAATCCCTAAAAAATGGGAATGAGGGATCAGAGCCTGGAGCAGCAGCTGGGAACGGGATCCAGGAGCCAAAGTGTGGGGTGAGATCAGTTCTGGGATGGGATCAGTTCTGGGGTGGGATCAGCTCTGGGATGGGGATCCCGGGTCCTTCCCGGTGCTTTTGGGGCCAGTGGCTGCTCAGTGGGATTTGGGGCCGTGTCAGGACCTGGATTTTCCTCCTGGATTTTCCTCTTTGGGCTATTCCTGCAGCTCCAGGATGAGCTGGGGGTCCCCAGGGGAGGGGTCTCCTCCTCTCCTGCCTTTCCTGGGATAAGGATTCCCAGAGGAGGGGGTTCCAAGACCCCTGCTTTTCCTGGGGCTGGAACACCCAGAGCCGCAGTTCCCGACCCGCCGGGCTCCGCCCGCGCCTCTCCCCGCTCTTCCCGGGATTTCTGCGCTCCGCTGCCCCCGGGGCTCCGCGGGGGTTCCGGGAGGGATGTGCGGCCCTTCCCTCGCTCCCCCGGGCATGGGAATGCCAGGGGCTGTGGCTGCTCCGGGGGATGATTTTCCAGGGATTGGTGCTCCAGGCATTGATGTTCTAGGAGCTGCTGCTCCAGGAATTCTTGCTCCAGGGGTTGATATTCCAGGGGTTATTCCCGGTGCGGGGGGATGCCAGGGCAGAGCTGAGGCTCCGGGACTTTCGGGCAGGGCTGCAGCGATCGAAGGCACCGGACCTTCCTCTTCACCTTCCTCCTCCTCCTCGCCGTGTCCCGAGCCCGGCCACGAACGGGTGCGGGGGCAGCACCGGAGAGGGTCCCAGAACCAGGGAAGGGGTCCCGGGAGCACCGGGGAGGGGTCCCGGGAATGGGGAGGGGGCTCTGGGGGCTCCCCCCTGCAGCCGCTCCCCCGGCGCCCCTCGGGGCTCCTCTCCGAGCGCCTCCTCAGGAAATCTTGGAAGGATTTCGGGATTTTCCACCCTCGGAGCTCTGGGGTCGGGACGGTTCCCACCAGCGGCCTCGCCCAGGGGTGCTCAGCTGGCTCTGGAACCCGAGCTGTTCCTAAAAATCCCTTTATTTATTCCTGGAACCCGAGCTGTTCCTAAAATCCCGTTTATTCCTGAAACCCGAGCTGTTCCTAAAATCCCGTTTATTCCTGAAACCCGAGCTGTTCCTAAATCCCTTCATTTACTCCCGAAATCCCTTCCATCCCAGCGCCGATGGAGCTGGGAAGGCTGGACCGGGAGCGAGGGGAAACTGAGGCACGGCCCCCCCTTCCCTTCCCGCAGCTCCGGACAAAAAGCGGGAACAAAACCCCGAGTGGGGCTTTTTGGTGTTTCTTTCACCCCTTCTCGCTGAATCCCGCATTTATCCCGGGAGGGCGGGGAGGGGGGGTCGGGGCACCCGCGGCTCCTTCACCCCCGGGAGGGGGACAGCGGCCCCGGGCCCTCCCGCCTTCCCCCGCTGCTGCTTTCTCGGGTTTTTGGCCCAAAATGAGTCACCGGGGGATTTTTTTTCTCTTTTTCTCTCATTTTTCGGGACTCTCACGAGTCGAGGCGGGGGGGGATTCTCGGGGGGCTGAGCCCCGGCTGTCCCCGGTGCCGCGGGACGGGGGCTGGCAGTCCCGGGACAAGGGACAAGGGACAGGATTCCTGGAGCGCCGGGGAGCCCCGGCAGGGAGCGGGACGCGGAGCATCCCGCGTGTCCCCGCCCTCGGGGCGGCTCCGCCGCGGCCGGCGGCGCTCGGGGGCCGGGAAAGTCCGGCCCAGTCATTCGGGGCGCGGGGGGAGAAGCCCCGAAACGCGTCCGTTCCGGGAAGGAAGGAGTCAATGGCTGCGGCTCGCACACGCCACTTCCCCGAGCGGGGCTGACTCATCCCGGGCTCGGTCCCGCTCCGACACCCGCGCCGCGCTCCGGAGCCCGGCCCGAGCCTCCGCCGGTGAGTCCGGGGGTCGCGGGGGGCCGGGGGGGCGCGGGGCCCGCCCCGGGCCGGGAGCCCCGGAATGCCGCGGGGGTCCCGGAATGCCGCGGGGGTCCCGGAGCCGCGGCCGCCCCCGGGGGTCCCCGGGCCCTCCGCAGCCCCCCGGGGGTGTGGGGGGGTTTGGCCGGCCCGGGATGGGGAGGGCAGGATGACTCCAGCCCGTTACTCAGCCCCCGTCACGCCTGGCAGCGCTCCCGCGCCGTTCCGGGCCGTGACGCTCCGGCCCCCCCGGTTTGGGCCTAAACCGGCCGGGTTTGGGTGCCCCGGGGGGAGCGGCAGCCCCGGGGCCGAGGAGCGGGGCGGGTTCGGGAGGAGTTCGGACAGAGCCCGGAATTAGCGCTGCGGTGATGACTGCTGTTAGCTCATTACGGGTGTAATTAGAGCGCGGTGCCGGCTCGGGGGGGTCGTTCAGCCCCGAACCGGCCGCGTTTTGCCCCAAAGCCGCGGCGGCTTCCTGCGCTCGGGAAGGGAGGAAACCGCGTCAGCGGTGCCGGGAACCGAACCGGGGCCGCGGGGGCGGGACACGGGGACACCGGCACCGGGACCGGCACACACAGGGGCGTGCGGGACACCTGTACCTGTGCGTGGGACACCTGTACCTGTGTGTGACACTGTACCTGTGCGTGTGACACCTGTACCTGTGCGTGGGACACCTGTACCTGTGTGTGACAGTGTAGCCACACACCTGTGTGTGGCACCTGTACTTCTGTGTGTGTGTGTGTGGCGCCTGTACCTGTGTTTTACGCCTGTACCTGCACACACAGGTGTGTGGGACACTGTAACTGCACACCTGTGTGTGACACCTGCACCTGCCGCACACCTGTACCTGTGTGTGACACCTGTACCTCTGTGTGACACCTGTACCTGCACGCCCCTGGCGCCCCCGTGCTCACCTGCGCTCAGGTGCGCTCACCCCCAGCCGCGCGCGCGCTGCCGCTTCAGGACTACAACTCCCAGCGTGCCTCTCGCGGGGGGGCGGGGATGGGGGGCGCGGGGAGCACCCGGGGACCCCCGGCACCCCTCTGCCCGCCCCGCGCCGCCCCCAGGTCCGCACCGCCGCTTTTCGCCGCTTTCCCGGGGTTTTCCCTCAAAAACAGGGGGGGATTCGGGGGCGGCGGGCCCGGAACGGGGGCGGCACGGGCGGAGCAGCCTCGGGCCGGTCCCGGTGCCCGGCGGGCGCCCCCAAATCCCCGCGATGTCCCCGTCATGGTGGGGGAGCAGCGGAAAGCCGGGGTCTCACCCTGCCCGTTCCCCCGGCCAGGTCCCGTCCCGAACGCAGCGGCGGCGATTCCCCCATGGAGACGAACCAGGAGCCGCGAGGAGACCCCCGCGACCCCCCCAGCCCCGCCGTGAGTGCCCCCCGGGGGGGTTTGGGGTGCTGAGCGCCCCGAAATTCGCGGGAGGGAGGGAGGACTACAACTCCCAGCGTGCCTCTCGCGGGGGGGCGGGGATAGACAGCGCGACTGCCCAATGGGAGAAGGGGCGTGTTGCCGCCGGCCAATGAGAAGCGCGGGAGGCGTGTCGGCCCCGCCCCTCGGGCGCGGCCCGCGGTCACGTGGCGCGGGCGTGGCCGGTGAGCGCGGCGGGCCCGGGGGGCCCGACCGTCGCGGGCGGGAGGGAGGGAGGAGGGCGAGCTGCGCTTTGGCCGCCGGTGGAAGCGAGGATGAGGCAGAGAAATGAGGAATTCCAGCTTTGGGTGGGGGGCGAGGGGACCCAAAATGGCATTTTTGGGGGCAGAGGTGAGCGGGCCCGTAGGAATAGGATCGGTTTTGTAATTGTTTTTTATCCTCGTGAGGAAAAGGGGTTTGGGTTTTGTGGCGCTGGAGCTTTTCCCTCCCCCCAGCAGCTTTTTATTTCACACACACACAAAAAGAAAAAAACAAATCCAAAAAAAGAAAAGAAAAAAAAGAAAGCTTTGAACTCTTTCAGCCGCTAAAATCCGGTGTCTGTCACAAGCCGTTAAATGAATAGAAAGAACAAAAAAAAAAAAAGAAAAAAAAAAAATAGAAAAGGACGGACTTGGGAGCCGAGCAGCTTCTTTGCCCAAAAATAGCAACAAGTTTTATAACTCCGGAAAATGTAGAACAAACAAACGAGGAACATTTTTAGCTGAGAAAGGCGGCGGCGCGGGGGGGGCGGGGGGCTGAATTTCGGAATTTCTGCGCGTCTGTTTTCCTGGAAGCCGCTCCTCGCGTTCTCGCCCGCTTCCAGCGCTCTGACCAACTTGGCCGCGGGCCCGGGGCTGCGGGGAACGGGCACGGAGCTCCCTGGGGCTGCGGGGAACGGGCCCGGGGCTCCGGGGAACGGGCACGGAGCTCCCTGGGGCTGCGGGGAACGGGCCCGGGGCTGCGGGGAACGGGCACGGAGCTCCCCGGGGCTGCGGGGAACGGGCACGGGGCTCCGGGGAACGGGCCCGGGGCTCCCTGGGGATGCGGGGAACGGGTCCATGGCTGTGGGGAACGGGTCTGGAGCTCCCCGGGGAACGGCCCCGAGCTCCTCGGGCTGCGGGGAACGGGTCTGAAGCTGCGGGGAACGGGCCCGGAGCTCCCTGGGGAAGGGGTCCGCTGCTCCCCGGAGCTCCCCGGGACCGGGCCCGGAGCTCTGCCGGCTGCAGAGAACGGGGGGTGCGGGAGGAGCGGCCGCAGCTCCCCCAGAACTCAGCCCCGTGTCCCGCAGGACGCGCCGGGGGCCGGGGATGGCGCCGAGAGGGACGAGGCGGCGGGACAAGGTGGGGACAAGGACAAGGAGGAGGAGGACAAGCAGAAGGAGAAGGAGGAGGAGGAGGCTTTCCTCGTCAGCCTCTACAAGTTCATGAAGGAGCGGCACACGCCCATCGAGAGGATCCCGCACCTCGGCTTCAAGCAGAGTATGTCCCCAGCCCGGGGACAGGGACAGGGACAGGGGTGGCCGGCTCAGGGCCCTCAGCGTCTCCCCTTTAACTGTTCCCAGTTAACCTCTGGAAGATCTACAAGGCCGTGGAAAAGCTGGGAGCCTACGAGCTGGTGAGTGGTGGCCGTGGAGCCGGGGTGGGCACCAGGGTGTCCCCTGGGTGCCAGGGTGTCCCCTGGGTGTCCCGATGTCCCCGGGGTGCCGGGGCTCACCCCTGCCTCTGTCCCTCTGTCCCGCCGCAGGTGACAGGCCGCCGGCTCTGGAAGAACGTCTACGACGAGCTCGGGGGCAGCCCCGGCAGCACCAGCGCGGCCACCTGCACCCGGCGCCACTACGAGAGGTGGGGCCGGGCCGGGCCGGGCCGGGCCGGGCGCGGTCCCGCCGCGTGCCTCAGTTTCCCCCGGCGCGGCGCTCACCGCGCTCCCCGCTCGCCCCGCAGGCTCGTCCTTCCCTACGTGCGGCACCTCAAGGGCGAGGAGGACAAACCGCTGCCCCCCAGCAAGCCCCGCCGGCAGTACAAGGTCTCCAAGGACGACAGGAGCAAGCGGGCCCGGAAGGAGAAGGGCCGCGAGCAGGTGCGCGGCCCCTCGGGGGCACGGGAGCGGCACCGGGGGAGGGACGGGCCGGGAGGGAGAGCGGGGGTGGCGGCCGGGACCCCAGGCCGGGTGCGGCACCCACAGCCCGGCCCTCGGCTCGCAGGCGGCTCCGGAGCGGGCGCGAACGGAGGAGGCGGCGGAGCGGGGCCGGGGCACGGACGGACACTCCAGCCCGGCCGCGCCGGCCCCCAGCCCCGCGGGGAGCTGTCCCAGCCCCTGCAGGAGCCACAGCGAGACCTACAAGCGCCTCTTCTCCAGCTTCTACTCCAGCGGGAACCACCCCATCATGTCCCCGCTGGCCAAGAAGAAGCTGCTGGCGCAGGTGAGCGAGGCCGAGTCCCTGCACTGCCACAAGCGCCGCTGCCCCGAGAGCCGCCGGCCACCGAGCCACAGCGGCCCCGCGCCGCCCGGGCCGGCGGAGCAGAGGAGCCCGGAGCCGTGCGGAGCTCCGGACAGAGCTCCGAGCGTGGCGAGCGAGGCGGGCCCGGCATCCCCGGCGGGCAGAGACGGCCCGGGCTGCCCGCAGGACGGGAGCGCGGCCCCCGCCGTCTTCACCGGCTACTTCCACGCGTACCGCAGCGAGGGCCCGCAGCCCGGCGGCTGTGCCCCGCTCTGGGGGTACTTCTCCAACCTGAAGGATTTTTTGGAGCCGCCCTGCGCCTTCCCGGCGCGGCCCGAGGAGCCCGAGCAGCCCGCGGAGCTGCGGAGCCGCCGGGCCGCCGCCGTCCAGGGCTGCTGGGTGCCCCCCGGGGCCACCTTCGGCCCCGCCGGCCACCAGGAGGAGGAGGAGGATGAAGATGATGAGGATGAGGATGAGGAGGACGAGCAGCCCTTCGGCCCCAGTACCCAGACACGCGCCGCGTCCCCCTCGGCCAAGGAGGGCAGGGACAGGCGGAGCCGCTCGCCCGGGGGCCACCGAGTGCTGGCCAAACCCAAGGCCGTGGTGGCCGCCCCGGCTTTCACCGCGCCGCTGCCGCCGGACGCTTTCACGGGAGCCTCGCTGCGCTTCCCGGGCGGCCTCGGGAGCCCCCTGGAGCACCTGCGACCCCCGGGCGTGCCGCTGGCCCCGGCGCTCTCCGGGAGCCCGCTGGTGATCCCGGCCTTCCCCAGCCCCTTGGTGGTGGCCCCGGGCGCCGGCCGCTTGCCCGGCTCCTTGGGCAGCTCGCCGCGGCTGTTCCCGGCGGCTCCGTGGCACGGGCAGCGCTCCTGCGGCTCCCCGCACGCCCCGGCCTTCCCGCACCACGGCCGGCCCTAGCGCTGGCACGGCGGGGACAGCGCGGGGACAGCGCGGGGACAGCGCGGGGACAGCGCAGGGACAGCGAGGGGACAGCGCGGGGACAGCCCGGGGACAGCCCGGGGACAGCGCGGGGACAGCCCAGGCTGGGCCGTTCGGATCGCCCCGCTCAGGGCTGCTGTGGCACGGGCAGGGTTCTCTCTGTTTTCTATATATCCACACAGAAATCTATAAAAAAGGGAGCAACAGCGCTGCTGGCGGTCTCCGTTCGTGCCATCCCGGATTTGGGGTTTGGGTCACTCCGTCGGGGGTGGAAAGGGAACAAACGTGCCTGGCTGCTCCCCAGCTGGCAGGCTGGGCTGTCCTGGGATCAGGGCAGGGCTCGGGGGAGCCTCTCCCTGAAGCCAGAGCCGTGGGGCTGAGAACTCGGCTGTGGGGAGGGAAGGAGGAGCTTTTCCACCTCCCTTTTGGGGGAGTCTCAGCAATTCCATGGGGCAGCCACGAGTCCAGGTGGGAACCAGCCCAGCAGCAGCTCCAGGTCCTTTGTGCCTCCAGGTCCTTTTTGGCTTCAGGTCCTTTTTTGCCTTCAGGTCCTTTTTGCCACCAGGTCCAGGTCCTTTTTGTCTTCTGGTCCTTTTTGCCCCTAGGTCCCTTTTTGCCTCCAGGTCCTTTTTGTCTCCAGGTCCCTTTTTGCCTCCAGAATCCTTTGTGCTGCCCAGATCCTTTTCCCCTCCAGGTGCTTTTCCCCTCCAGATGCTTTTTGCCCCCAGCAGCTCCACCGGAGCCGTTCCAGACCACGCCAAGGCTCTGTGGGAGCTCCAGGCCTCGCTCTGCCCCTGCAGGGACAGCGGGCAGGGCACAGGGACGGTGGCACCTCCTTGTCCCTAGGGCTGTGACAGCTTCGGGGGGAGCAGGAGCTGTGAGTCAGCGTGGAAGGGCCACAGAATCCATGGGAAGGCCAAGTTTGGGGACAGAAATTGGGAATAAACTGGATTTTGGGAAAGGTTCTTCCTCAGAGGGTGCTGGGCACGGCCCTGAGGCTGCCCAAGCTCAGATTTTGGGGTGTCTGGGCAGGGCCAGGGGCTGGGTTGATGATCCCAGTGGGTCCCTTGCTGCTCAGGAGATTCCAGGATTCCCTGATTATTTCAGGGAGCTGCCCAGTGTGGATCCTCCCCTGCTCTGTCCCTCCATCCCTTCACTGCTCACAAAACCCACCCCCAACAAAAGCCATCCTTGGAGTGGCCATGGCCACAAACTCAATCCAAAAGCACAACCAAATTTAAAAAATATTTTAAAAAAGGAGTTTTTTTATTAAACAACGACAAACCCAGAAAAACACCTCCCCTTTCCCACCCCCCAGGAGTTCTGGGGGTCCCCACAGCCCCCAGGCCAGCGTGGCTGCTGCTGGCCAGCCCCACAGTGTCCCCAGCGTGTCCCCGCAGTGTCCTGGAGGTGCCACCTTGGGGTGCCCAGGCTGGCACGGGGCAGCCTCAGCAATGCCACACCAGGCCAGGGGTGCCAGCCTGGCCTCCCACACCACGGGGCTCCGTGTGCTCACTGTGGACAAGGGGACAGGGTCAGTGCTCCGGGGACATCGTGCCCACCCTGGGCTGCACAACTGCCCCCCCCCGAGCCTGGTTCATCCCCAGCACTGGCACAGCCCAGGCAGGGCAAGCACAACGCCCAAACTGGCACAGCTCCATTCCCAGAACACCCAAACTGGCACAGCTCCACTGCCAGGGCACCCAAACTGGCACAGCTCCATGCCCAGAGCACCCAAACTGGCACAGCTCCAGATCCAGCACCCACACTGGCACAGCTCCATGCCCAGATCCCCAGGAAGCATTTCCCTGCTCAGGTCCCCCAGAGGTTCCTCTCTCCCTCAGTTTCCCCCTCCCTGGGGCAGGTTCCCCCGGGGTTCCTGCCCAGCCAGGCCCCTCAGGGCAGCCCTGGAGGCTCCCTGGCAGTGCCCAAGTGCCAGGCTGGCCAGGGGAAGGTGTCCCTGCCCTGCTGGGACTGGGTGGGCTCCCAAGCCCCTTCCAGTGAGCAGCAGGGACAGAGCCCACAGCTCAGCCTGCCCTGGCTGCACAGGCTGTGGCTCAAGTCTGTGTCCCTGGCAGGGGAGAGCTCAGGATGGCACAGGAATTCCTGCCTGCAGGGGCTGGGAACTCTTCTCACACCATCCTCACCCAAACCCCAGCTCCAGGAGAACCACAGGACACAGAGGTGGCTGTCCCCACACTGCAGGGGACAGACCCCCACAGGGTCCAAGTTTAGAGAGAAGACAAACCCAGTTTTACTCCGATTCTCACCTCCAGCCACACAAACCCTCAGGTTTCTCCTCACCCTTCCCAGGGGAGACCCCTGTGATGCCCAGGGGGAAGGAGAGGGAAGTGCCCACCCCGAAGCACAGCTCAGCCCCAAACTGAAACCCCAGCTTGCTGCAGAGCCCTGAGCTGGGGCTGCAAGGGAACCTCAGCTCTGGCTGTGCCCAGGCCTTTGGGGAAGGTTACGTAACCCCGCTGATGTCAGGGCTAAAATTAGGAACAAACCTCATTTCCTGTCAGAGCTGCTTTCAGTTTGCTCTGGAGCAGGCCTGGCACGGGTTGAGCCCTGCCTTGAACACACAACTCAGCGTTGTAAGCAAAAAATTAACCCCTTGCTGGATGGCCTCAGCCTGGAGACCAGGTCCAGCCCTGCTCCTGGGGGGGACAGGGACACCAAGGGGACAGGGACACCAAGGGCAGCACAGCAGCTCCGAGGGGCACTGAAAAGCACCAAAGCTGCCTCTGACACAGAATTTCAGACCTTTCCCCACTACCTGAGGGGCACCAGTCTGGGCTGCAAGCTCTGAGCCCAGTGAGTGCAAGAAACCCAGGAAAGTCAAGGGAAGAAAATCCCCAAATCCTGAGATTTAGCCAAGACTCTGCCTGGAAACTCCTGGACACGATGGATGCAGGGTCAGGTCTGGGGCAGCAGGAGCCAAACCAGCCTGGCACAGTGGGAGGTGTCCCTGCCGTGGTGGGGGTGGCACTGGTGGGATTTGAAGTGCCTTGGAGCCCAAAGGGGCTCTGGGTGGGATCTGAGGTCCCTTTGATCCCAAAGGGGCTCTGGGTGGGATTTGAGGTCCCTTGGAGCCCAAAGGGGCTCTGGGTGGGATCTGAGGTCCCTTGGAGCCCAGAGGGGCTCTGGGTGGGATCTGAGGTCCCTTCCAGCCCAAACCATCCCACGATCCCATGGGATCAAGGACAATCAAAGCTGGACAGACACAGTGACACAATGACAATGCCCTGGCTCCTGTCACCCCCTCCTCACACCCCAGCCATGGAACAGCCACACCTGGCAGGGCCAGGAGCTGCCCAGGTGAGCAAGGAGAGGTGTCCCCCTTACCTGAGGGCCCTGGGGCTGCTCCTCCAGCTGGGGCTGAGCTGTGCCCAGCCCTGCCTGGCTCAGGGTGCCCACGCGGCCGGGCTGTCCCCGCAGTGTCACCGTGATGGTGGCCGGGGCCTTGAGGCCTGCAGAGCACACAGAAATGTCCCTGAGACCCAGGGATGGTGGAGGCCACCTCCAAACTGGGCTCAGAGGGGCCTCTTGGGAAGCACCAGCCCGCAGAGCAGGAGGAGCTTGGGGAAAAAAGCTCCAGGAGCCAGCAGCACCTCCCTGCCTCCCTCCCTGCTGCTCACCTGCAGCCTGGTTGGAGATGTGGGCCAGCCCGGGCAGGCTGCTGGCCAGCTTGGCCAGCCCCCCGTTGCTCAGCAGCTGGTGGATGGCCGTGGGCTTGCCGCTGGCCGAGGCGCCCAGGGCCAGCGAGGTGGCCACGGGGATGGTGCGCACCAGGGCGGGCTCGGCGCTGATGGCAGCCAGGCTCTGCAGCGCCCCCGGGGCCTTCAGCGCCGAGCTCTGCAAGAGAGGGCGGGCTGAGCTCTGGCTTCCTCACTGATCCCTCCTGGAACTCTGAGGGGGACAAAGAGGGACCTGGGAGGTGCCAGGGTGGCTTTTCCCAGGGAATGATCACTGATCCCTCCTGGAACTCTGAGTGACTCAAAGAGGGACCCTGGGAGGTGCCAGGGTGGCTTTTCCCAGGGAATGATCACTGATCCCTCCTGGAACTCTGACAGGGACAAAGAGGGACCCTGGCAGGTGCCAGGGTGGCTTTTCCCACTGATCCCTCCCAGCTCAGCAGTCGGGGGCTGCCTGCACAGACACAGCTCCTCACAGAGCCCTTTGAGGAGCTCTCCCACCAGGCTCCCTGTGCCCCCCAGAGCCCCCCCTGCCCCGTGGGGTCTCCAGGGGTGCTCACCTGCACAGGTGAGCCGGCGGCGGCCGCGCTGGGGGCCAGGCTGGAGGCCTTGGTGCCCATGTCCTGCAGGCTGAAGCTCAGCCCCTGGAGCAGGCTGCTGGCAGAGGCTGCTCCTGAAAACCCCGGGAAGGACAAGGTCAGCCTGGCAGGGGTCACCAGCACCAAATTCTGGGGCTGCAGAGCTGTTCTCCAACCTGAGGGCACTGGGGACCCTCCCACAGCTCCTTTCTGGGATCTGGGAATGTCCTGAGCAGGAAGGGACCCACTGGGATCATCCAATCCAGCCCTGGGACACCCCAAAATCCCCCCCTGGGACCCTGCACAGACACCCCAAAATCCCCCCCTGGGACCCTGCACAGACACCCCAAAATCCAAAGGCTCCTGGAGCTCTGGCAGCCTCGGGGCTGTGCCCATTCCCTGGGCAGTGTCCACACCCTCTGGGGAAGAACCTTTCCCAAATCCCACCCAAACCTCCTCCTCTCTGGGCACAGACCCTTGCCCAGATCCCACCCCAAACCTCCCCCTCTCTGGGCACAGACCCTTGCCCAAATCCCACCCAAACCTCCTCCCCTCTGGGCTCAGACCCTTGCCCAGATCCCACCCAAACCTCCTCCCCTCTGGGCTCAGACCCTTGCCCAGATCCCACCCATCCCCTGCCCAGCTCCGTTCCCTGCTGCGGGCACAGAGCGGGCTGTGTGGCACGGCAGGATCTGGGGTTCTGCTGTGTGACACACACGTGCCCCCATGCCCAGGGCTGAGGGAGCTGTCCCCGGTACCTGGCAGGCCCGGGGCCGGCGGGGCGGGCAGGCCGTGGCCGCTGCTGGCCACCAGCCGGCTCTGCAGGGCGTGGAAGGCGCTGGGGGTGGAGCTGCTGGGGATCTGAGCCGGGCTCAGCGAGGCCTCCGCGCTTGAGCTCAGCCTAGAAGGGAAGGGAGAGACCGCGGTGAGGGCTGGGACACAGAGCTGGCACTGCCCCCGGGCTGGGGGAGCTGAGCTGGGCTGGGAAAAGCCCTAAAAATCATCAGTTCCAGGAGAAGCTTCCAGGGCAGCAGCCAAATGCAAGGATTTTCAGACTGGTGGCTCTGTGCACCTCCCAGGTCACCCTGTCCCTGCTTAAACCCCACTTCTGATTTATTTAAAACATAAAATTTAATTTTATAAATTAATAATAATTTTAAATAATTTTATTTCTTTCTTTAAAACCAGCTCTTCTTCCTCTCCTATTACAGAATCCTGGGATGCTTTGGGTTGGAAAGGGCCTTAAAGCCACCCAGGGCCACCAGCAGGGACACCTCCCCTGTCCCAGGTCACTCTGAGCCCTGTCCAACACCTCCCTGGCTCCTCTGGGAATGGGATCAGTCAGAGCCCAGTTCCCCAAAGCCTGAAAATGTTTCCATTTTAGGATGAAAAAAGTGTCAGTGTGAGATTTACTGCCCAACAGTTCATACCCTTTATGAGCTGATTTGAGGCTCCTTTACCCTGTCTTTGCAACAAAAATGTTCTTTTTATTGCAAAGGTGCCAGAAGGGAAGGATTAAACACAGAATTTCTGCCAAAGCCACCACAAAGACAGAGAGAAGCAAACCTGAGGCTGGGAAACCACAGCAGCCACAGCCACAGCCCCTCCACTCCACTGGAGCTTCCAGGAGCCCCAGAGCCTCCCCCACGCCAGAGAACTCCAGTGGGGAGCAAAGCTCCACGTGCAGGAGGGAAAGAGCCCCCAAATCCCCAAATTCCCACTCACTTGGGGGTGGAGAGCAGCCCTGAGAGCTCCTTGGTGCTGGGCACGGCCTGGCCCAGGGGCAGCGGCTTCCCGGAGACAACTGCAAAACAAAGAGGAGAACGCTCAGCTCCTGTCCCCACAAGGGATCCCCCTTTTTCCAAACACCCATCCAGATCCCAGGGCATCTTCTGCAGGAATCCCAGACTGGGAGGAGCAAAATCCAGTTAGAGCACACAAAATGTGGGATTCCAGAGCCAGGGGGGAGGGAATCGCCTCCCGAAATCCCTAAGGAACCTCAGGCCCCTGCCACCAAATGCAAATCTCTCTCCTGAAGGTTCTCTCCACTAATCCCCTCCTGTTCCTTGGATGGATTGCTGGGATCTGGGTGATTTTGTAAGGATTCTTGCTTCAAGACACTTTACAAAATACACAGGGATGCGACAGGTCACGGAATTTGTTTATTGCAGCACTGGGGGATACAACTGCATTCCTTCCTCGTGCATTCCTCCTGGCACAGAGGCAATTCTCGTTTGGGTTCATGTTTACTTCTGCAACTCATTTCCTTTCTGTGGAAAGAAGTAAAGTTTGGAAAATTAAAAATCATAATTTAGAAAATTGCTTCTGGAAAGCAGAGGTTTTCAAAGCTGCCGGAAGACCAAGTGAAACCTTCCAGAAGGAAGTGGATTTGTGTCTTGTGGCAGGAGGATGGAGCCCACCAGCTCCTCCTGGGCATTGTCCAGGTGCAGAGGCAGGATGGGAGCTGGGATTTGCTGGGATGGGAGCCCCAGGGGTGCCTGGCACACTCCAGCCCCAGGGGGACCAGCAGAGCTCGGCTGGGTGGGGCATCTGGAGGGCACAGAACTCTTCCAGAGGGAGCAACTTCAGCAGGATCCCTCAGGCAGCAGCGGGGTCCAGGCAGGAGGAATGTGGAGAGAGGGGTCCAGCACACCAGCAGCACCAGAACCCTGCTCAGAACCCTGCTCCCAGCAGCACCAGCAGCACCAGAACCCTGCTCCCAGTAGCACCAGTATCCACCCTGCTCCTACCAGGAGCAGCATCCATCCTACTCCCAGCAGCACCAGTAGCACCAGCACCCTGCCCCAGCAGCACCAGCACCCTGCCCCAGCAGCACCAGTGTCCACCCTGCCCCAGCAGCAGCTCCAGGCCTCCAGAGGAAGGTGCCTGACCAGAGGGAGGTGCAGGATCCCCTCCCAGCTCCAGGCTGTTTCTCAGGAGTGCGGAATTCCAAGCCCGTGGAAAAATGGCTCCTGCCAAGCCCCTCCAGCCACTCACACTGTGTGTCTCCACCTTTCCCTGCAGCTAAATCCTCCAAAAAGCAGGGCTGAGGAAAAAGCCAGGGCTGAGGAAAAAGCCAGGGCTGAGGAAGGCGGGATTAAGGAAGCCAGGACTGAGCCAGGGCTCAGGAAGCCAGGACTAAGGAAGCCAGGGCTCAGCAAGCCAGGGCTCGGGAAGCAGAGCTCCCTCCCACCAGGCCCTGCCAGGTGCCACAGCCAGGTGCCAACTCACTTTCAGCCTGGGTGCTGAGGGCTGCTCCGGGGCCCGTGGCATCTCCGTGGGAGACAATGGTGACCTTGATTTTGGCTCGTTTGGAGGCTTTGGTGCACGGGGTCGGGCTGGGGCTCTGCTGCCTCTTCAGCTGCACTCTCACATCATCTCTGTCAGCCCCCTCCGAGTGCTCGGGGGCCACAGGAACTGGGGGACACAGAAGGGGCTTCTGGAGTGCCCAGAGGGGAGCGTGCCCACAGCTCCCTGGTGCCAGCCTGCCCAGCTGCCGTGCTCAGGAACCCCTGAGACCCCAGAGCTGGGCGGGTGCCAGGGCTGCCCTGGCTCTGCACGGCTGCCACAGCTCCACGGGGGCATTTTCACCCCAAAATCCTGGGGTCTGCCCCTCCAGCAGCCCTGCTGGCCAGCTGAGGGGACGAGGTGAGGGCCTGCAGGGACAGAAGGTGAGAGCTCAGCTCCAGCACAGGCACAGGATCCCCCAGCTCCCCTCCTGGAGCTGGGCAGGCTCTGAGAGGCACCAAGCAAAGCAGAGGAGGAGCTGCAGCAAAGCCAAGCCCCAAAACCCCACACTGCAAGGGACGGGGGCAGAAACCCCACAGCTGAGAGCTCCCTGCCCCAAACACAAGCTCCCCGAGGCCAGGGCAACCCCAAAAAGCACAGAGGAGCCACAAGTGCAGTCCCCAGACACAGCTGCCAAGCCACATCTGCCACCACTGGGGTACAGCCCCCTGGCCCAGGCTGGAATGCTGAGAATTCCCAACATTCCCAAGGGGCATCCAGAGCACCCAGGAGAGCCCTGCAGGCCCCAGAGCCCCGGCCCAGGGCCAGCAGCCAGGC